AAGGTAAGTATTTATCCCTATAATTTTCGGATCACTAGACTTTCAGCTAGGAAATCCGAAGTGATGAAAAATTTTTAGGGGATAAAAATATACCTACATCTACCGTTTAAACACTAAAATACGTTTAACAATGCTATGTTTAAGTGGTTTTGAACTATGTTCTCGTTGGGTGCCCCTGATCTGATTACCTATACTCCTGCACCAAAAATCCAAATTCACAGTAATTTCGACGGCTGCACTTCAAAATTCTTTTTGTTTTCATTATCTGCTAGTATTTTTAGCTGTCCTGCTGTGAAAAATCCTAGAATCACGACGGCTTTTAAAAAATGTTCATCGTTATAATGTTTTGATTTTTCATTTATCAAATCCGTTCGCGCGTTGACAGTTTTTAAAGATGTGTAACAAAGCGGAAGTCCCTTGTCCTTTGCGGTTTGTTCTGACAAAATAAAGTCGAGGAGATTCATCGATATTTTGTGGGCGTTTTTAATAAAACAATTATTCCACTCGCGCTTATTGGGTATGAGATGATTATAGCCAACTCGGCGCCACGCGCCTTGTTGGCCATCTACCATCTCATATCAAACGCGCACCCGTGGAATAATTGTTAATTATTCAACTTGAAAACTAAATCTTGTGACGATAGTTTTGCCCTTCCAAGCACAAATCGGGGAAATAAGCGTTAAGAGAACTCGAGCGACTTCGGCGTAAGAACCACAAGGGAAAAACTAACTCTGCAACTCGCTTGGCTAGCGGGAAAGGAACTCGTCACTATTCCAAGGTACTAGGATCTGCTACAACTTGAAACAGGACAGGACTCAAACTCGGACTTCAACAGTTTAATCTTCAGCTCGTGAACGTAAATCATACAGTCAAGTAAATCCGCAATGTAGATTGTACAAGCATGTAAATCCGCAATGTAAACCGTACAAGCATGTAACTCCGCAGTGTAAATCGTACAAGCATGCAACTCCGCAATGTAAATCGAAAAACAGGAATAAAAGTGCTCTATTTATACTAAGCGATCAACCTATTACAACATCACAAAACAAATGGAAAGACGGCCGCTATAAAATCAGCTGAACAGCGAAAATAAATTCAGTTTTAAAGTTCATATGTTCAACTAAATAACTCAAAATTAAATGTCAGTCAAGCAAGTGAATTTAAGAAATTTACAAAGAAAGCTGTATAAAAGAATTCGAATTTCGTTTGCTCAGGATTCCCTAAAACGTCAAAACTAAAAACTACGAACGGTTGGTATTTGAACAGGCGAAAGGTCTAGTTGTTCAATGACCTAAAGGCGCAAAATATATGGACAGTTCTTGTCATGTGACACGCTGAATTGTATTCAGGGGCACCCAACGTCAATTTTCGGAAAATATCTGTTCGGAAGACGATTGAGATCTAGGATTTTCGGAACAGTTGCCGTAACACTTCTTGCTTTCCTGCCTCTCCGATTTTCGAACATCTAAAAAATGGTATAATTGCCCTTTTTAACGGATTTTTACCCTAGAAAGGTCACCTAGAATTTTCGGGAGCCTTTTTTCTGGCTGAAATTTTCGAAAAGGTAAGTTTTGATCCCTATAATTTTCCGGATCACTAGACTTTCATGAACAGATGAAAAATTTTAAGGGGATAAAAATATGCCTTTATCTACCGTTTAAATACTAAAATACGTTCAACAATGCTATGTTTAAGGTGACTCGACCCAGTTATTTTGTGAGGGTACCATCCTACTTTGAAGCTCTCTGGTATCGCCACCTTTACTTTGATCGTAAGTCTAACATATAGCATGGATAACATATAGATCAATCTACAATATAGCATAAAGTTTTTGGCGATCGGAGTAAATGTTGCCGGCATTTTTTTCGTGAAAATCTCTCGGCTACATAGAGTGGGTATTAGATGCCTTGCGTTGAACAGAGTTTCACCAAAATCGCAATGACCCAATTCGAGAAATTCAGTGGTTTCCAAATTTAGGCCATAATTTATGCGAAAATGATAAGCAAACTTTACACGATTATATCTAATTAACTATGAGATTTATTCCTCTATTTTGGGGATCGTTATAACAGATGGGTCCTTGCAAGTCAGCAAAAAGCTTTAGGACCTGTTAAATGCGCGCGATTTCGAGCAATGCAAGCATATAGAAATTATAGTTTGAGCTATTTGTTGACGTTTTTTAACAGTCCTTCTCACGAGAAAAGCATTTTCTTAAAAGTCCGTAGTTTTTTTTCCTTCAAATTTTTTTCAGAGCCACAAATGATTAACGAAATATGCGGATTCTGAATTTCATGGTCATTGAAAAACTGTGACATTATCTTCTGTAAGCCCAAACTTGAGTAAACATTGAAGATTTTTAGCGTTTTGGCTGAGTTTGTGCTTTGGGAGTTTTCTATTGTTTCTAGTCTGTCATAATACAGAATTCTTGTTCAGCAAGCGTGCAATGACCGCGCTTGGCTGACTTCTGAATGCTCACCGAGATATGATAATTTTGGTACGGTGAAAATAGACGGGATTCCCGTCACGTAACGTCTAGACATGAACACCCTCAGCGCTTTGTATACTGCAGGACGTACAAGGTCTTTGCTAACAATTTTAGCATTACCTCTAAGCAAGAAGAGCAAGAACGATTCTAGTGCGAAACCAAGAGTCACAAAAAAACTGACAGTGCTTACAAGTGTAGTTAATTTTTTTCACCACCAGATAAAAAGATAAGCCTGGGTCTTTGCGATTTTTCATTTTTCATTTTCTCTGTTCAACGCAAGGCACTAATACCCGCTATATGTAGCCGAGAGATTTTCACGAAAAACTGCTGGCAACAGCAGAATTTCGACTCAGACCCCAAAGAGGCGTGGCACTATAACCACGTGACATTTACTCCGATCGCCAAAAACTTTATGCTATATTGTAGATTGATCTATATGTTATCCACGCTATATGTTAGACTTACGATCAAAGTAAAGGTGGCGATACCGGAGAGCTTCAAAGTAGGATGGTACCCTCACAAAATAACTGGGTCGAGTCACCTTAAGTGGTTTTGAACTATATTCTCGTTGGGTGCCCCTGTTGTATTGTCCACAAAACCTATTGGGGGGCTCGAAATGATAGATATTTGTTTTAGAGATTGGTCGGGAAGTTCCGAAGAACTTCTAGGGGCCTACTTGCCAAAAACTAGCATTTTGGGCGAAATTGTCTTTGAAATACTAGCCCCGTTTTGCTCAAGACTCGATACAATTCCTTTTAAATTTGATTCGGTTTATAGCCTGCGTGGCATTGCCTGCCATGCACGATAATCGGTTTTATAACGTTAAGAAACAAGTCAAATTTAAAAGGATTTGTATGGAGTCGTCACAGTAGTCTGTTTACAGCGATCCAGCCCACTCTTCTATATAAGGTTGGGAAAAACTGGCGGCCTCTTCCGGATGAAAGATACACACCAGAGATAAAGTTGGGTGGGATGAGGCAGGAAGACAAATAAAAATCATCCGAAAGGGAAGCCGTGGAGAGGAGAGGGGGAATGACAAGGTGCAAAGCCATAGTAACAACCTGTGTGTCTTCTCTCAAAAATGATAATTGATGCATGGTGTATGTGCTTTATATAGTCGACCGGACAAGACCGCTGAAAATAGTAGTCTATTCTAGATTCACTCTCGTTCGTCTCCAGTTCTTTTGTTCCGTGTCACCCGTAATCCTACAAGGTGGTTTTGACCCTTATTATTAATGAATCATTTTCAGAGTTTGGAATCACTCAGGGTACAGCATTAGACAATTAAAACGTAAAAATATTTTTAAAAACTTTTTGGCCACTCTAAAATATCATTTTCTTCAGACGAAGATTATTTTCAATAAGAAATACTTTGCCCGACGTGTTTACGTCAGGTTTCCTAATCATAGTTCTTCCAAGATCACGTGAATAGCAAACGTGCAAAACAAAGACACGTAGTCTGTTTAGGATTGGTTGGTTGAGCGGGAAATACATTTTAATGGCATTTATGACTTGTGTGCGTCAAGCAGCAGGATATTTTACAAATAAAGGAAAAACGATACGGTAGATAGGTAAGTGAAGAAATAATGTTGTTGTCATACAAAATCTCCAGTTGAAAATACCTGTCTTAGTTTATTGGGATACTTAAGCGATGGCGTAAGAAAATAATAAGTGTCTGACCAAAATCTTACAATCCTTCAGGGAATAAACCTGTTGACGTCCCTTTAACTCGTGTTCCTCGCATACAGTGTAGATATGTATATATTTCTACAAGGTAATTATTAGCTTTGGGCGAATCAACTGTTCATATCTTATTTTTACCTTCATCTTATCAATTTTGTTTTCAAGTCGATTACTAAGATCAAGTAATTACAAGATGAAATGATCAGTTATTAAATATCTGACGTTGAAGGATTTCTTCTTTGGTCTTCCAATCACCTAATAAGTTTCAAGTTTCATCGTTAAGAACTATCCACGGTGCGTTCATTGAACGTGCACATTTTAAATGACAAAAGAATCAAATACCTTTGACAAAACACGAAACCTTACATTGGGCAATCAGGAATTACTAGTGAATACCTTTTTATCAATTATCGTTGGAAGTTTTCAGTTTTTGTTTAAAGTTTCCGAGCCGCATGGCTTCTGGAGGAAACATACTTTAATTTCAGTTAAATGGTTTACGAGAGTTAGTATCCACTGGTAGTCCCTGCAACCTAGCAGGTATTATGGGGTTACCACACGGAGTCTTCCTCTCGACAAATAAACGAATAATTTACTGTTGCCTATCAAAATGGAAATAATCTGGACGTCTTAGTCTTGCAATTTACTTGACATTAATAAGCATGGTCGATAACCTTCATGCTTGAGTTGGATGTGCTGAGTAATGATTTGATTCTTCACAGGGCTTAAAAATGATTTACAGCGCGTTGTAGTATTTTGCAATTTTTTTCGGGTTGTATGTACTGATCCCACAATATAGTAGTTTAATCTTGCTTTCACCTTTATATTCATGTATCTATTTTAAAATATGAATTGTGGGCCCTCCTTGGGGCATTATTTCCTTGACATCCTTTAGTTTATGGCCCATCGCTTTGAATTTCCACAGCTGGTTGGATAGTCTTGCTCCATCGAATCGTAACGAACGTTCCTGTTCGGAGTAATTAGACACCCGCCTCAATGAGATGTTCAGTTGGGTTAAATTGAAAAAGATGGGATTTTCTGAAACAGACCGGCTTTACCTTGGTGTTAAATATTTGGTTCTGTTAACATCGGTTAACTGGGATTTACGAAGACAATTATAGAATTCGACTCTTATGGCCGTCAAATTTTTAAGCTATGAAGTCAAAAAAATTGTCATGATTATAAAATCGCTTATTTGAAACGTACTCTAACCTGAACTCAAATTCTAAACATGAAGCATTTTCGTTAAATAGAAGCCGAGAAAATGAAGGCCAAAGTTGATATGTAAGAGCTCTAGTTTGGAAATATTAATAGCGGATCTCCTCGAGGAGCGCACGCGAGGAGCCCCATCGCTAAGAAAATTTGGTAAACTATCCATCCCAGAAAATTTGGTTATGACGTAGCGTACGCCTGCCAGCCCGTTCAGTTCACTCATTACATGTAAGCCGATGTCAAGTGTCACATTAGACTACAATAGCCTGACTTTAATGTAAGCCATCCGCATAAAGATGATTTGACACCGGTCAAAATCGGTCATCCGCTGACAAGTATCTCATGATCATCTCGTGGACTTAGATAAAAGACAAGTCGTTTTGCCCCTACAAGCACGCTGATGTAATATGTCACAATCACCAACATAAAAATTAAACTACGCTTTCACCGGGCAGGACTGTCAGTCGGCCGTCAGTAGCTAAAGATAAATGTTCAAGCCAAATTAAGGCCAATTGACAGCTGTCAAAATGGGACATGTGCAGAGTAATAACGTGGGCTCAGGTACACGATCGCGCATTTCTAATTCGCCCCCACTACAAGCTGGACTGAAATGCTCACGCAAAATAAGCTGCCATATTCGCAGTCCGTTTATTCGATTATTCGCCATTCTAATGAAGGTCGATTGACAGCTGTCAAACTAGAGCATCTACTGACCATCATCACCTGACTTTATCGCGGGCTCATTTTTCTACCCATTAACGTCACGTATTTGTTGAAGTTTTCCGCTAATATTTTAATTTCATCACGGGCTCAATTCTGTATTTGTGGCGGAGTCCCATAGCTTAGAAAATCTATCCATCTTAGAAAATGTGGCAACCACGTGACCGTACATTGACCGCCTAACCGTCCGTGCGCACCACAGGCATACCTATGTTTAATCTCACAGTTTCTAGCTACTTTGGGGGCCTGCAACCTGATATTTTACATTTATGTTGTGATCAATTGACAACTGTTAAAACTGTGTATCCGCTAACCAGTATCACCCGACAGTGTCGCCGGATCAGGTGTCGATCCACTGAGTTCGAATGTTTTTTGGAAGGTATCCGCTAACAAGTCACTACTTTTCCAATGATCGCAGGCTCAAGTTCGATTATTTTTAATGTACATGAAATAAGTTGTGTTCTCGAGCCGCTCTATTTAAATAAAATTTTGATTTCAAACTGACCTCGGACGCGAAAATTCAGCCGGCTTTTTCCATGCAGAGAAGGCAGTCTTTTGTGACTCTTCTAACCATGGTCATGCGCTGGCCACGCTCTACGTTTAACTTTTGTGCTCTGATTGGTCAAAATTTGACAGGCGACTATGGAAAATTTATGCAGCATCTTGACACTTGTTTTATGTCATCTTGTGATGGTTTTAACTACTTTTTCCACTGGATGTACAAAATGAAATACAGCTCCTATCAAGATTCTTCTGTTATTCATGGCTGGTTTGTTTATGACGTTTTTGATTGAGAAACTCTCTGAAATTATTAGGAGTCGTTCTAGATAACAAACTTAATTTTAGTAAACATGATAAGTTAATGTGCCCCAAAGCTACTTCTAGGATTGGAACTCTGACAAGGATGAGGAAACTAGTGCCAAGAGAAGACCAAGTTGCGTCTTTCTAAATCTGTTATCCTTTCTGGGTTGAACTATTGTTCAATTGTACGGTTCTTCATAACAGCATCCGACAAGCGCAAATTGGAAAGAACGCAAGAGAAAGGCTTGTGAACGGTATTTAATGACAGTACATCAAGTTACGAGAGCTTGTTGAAGAAGGCAAAATTCAAATATAATATGGTTTTGAAAAGATTGGTAACAATGATTAGCAAAAAGACAGTTTATATTTAAAAAAATAATAGTCTCCCCGTTCACAGGCAATGGACTCAGACTGTCTTTGCTAATTTCGTGAAATAAGTTAGAGCTTTTAGTCGCTATCATCGCTTTTGATTATTCGGCGGCGTTTGCCGGTTGATTAGCGACAGTCCTTCATACGTTCCGTGATAAATGTTCATCATTCCAATCTGAATATGTTGGGTGCAATTTTGGTTTTAGAGAAGAGACTGTGGGTTTAAGTTTGAGCTAGGACCGGCTGACGGGCCGGCGACAAAAAAAAAAACCTACACCGCGCTGGAACAAAGAAGTGACAGTCGATGCCACTCTGCTTTGATGGAAATCCGTTCCATCATCTTGTTGATGGTATTTTCCCCAGACTGGCTCATTTCTGTACCCCTCTCGGGGGTTTGCAAAGTTTATATTCTTGGTGGTATCTTTGCTTGGACTCTGAAACAGTGACTTGCAGTCGGGTTGAGTCTTGCAGAGGTAAAATTCAAACGCAGCTACTGGATCCAGTGCAACTGACGTTTCGTACATTCGAACATCCGAGTATGACTCAGACTGTTTAGCGCCTCCTTGGTAATTTTCAGTTTGTTCAGTAAGTTTTTCGGTGACTTAACGGCTTCAGTGTCATCAGTTTTTATTTAAAATGACTGCTTTTAAGCTCCCTTCATCCCTCTCTGCCGCGGCGAGCAAAATGAAAACTCAACCAAAACCAAATAAACTCAACTAGCTTCTCCTCATCTTTCCAGGCGCCGTCCGTGTTTTGCCCTTCCATGAAGTATCGATTCAATTTTTTGCATGTCTCCTCACTGAATAGATGATTTGTGTTTTGGTTTCGCATTGTTTTCTTTCGTAAATAGCTTGGCTTTCGCTTCAAACATTTTGTTGGCAGACATGAGTTTGCTGTCTTGCAAAATGCTTATGTTGCGGCTGAGTGGAGCACAGGTTAGATGGCGATGAATGGCCGCTCTAACTCCAGTCAATGCACTTGGAGTTAACGCTTGGCCTTTCTCTATTTTCACTTCAGCGAAGAACGTTCGTAGAAATTCACCCAAGTCTATAGGACTTACTGTTTTGAGATCCACTGTAATTTTTCTTTTCTCACACCATTTCTCAAACTTTTTTACCTCACACTCAGTTGCTCTCTTGGTGTTTTTCGCTTGAGGTTCTCGCTCAATTTAATCCAGTTGCCTACAGTTTTCTAAGTCCCACTAGAAAAAAAAACTGAAAATTTGGGATTTCTTCCATTTTAAAATAAAATCTCTAAACGTCAAACGTTCACTGCAGAACTACAAAGTAAGCAAGTGACGAGCAAGTACAAACTCATCAACAACAATTCACGCCAACTCTGACATTGAAATGGTATCCTCAGGATCTCACTGGTCGAGCGAAGTTATTTGACATCTCTGCAGGCAATCAGAATCGGAGCGGCATATAAATTTTCAGCCCACGTATTTCCCGTTTGACCTGCAAAAAGGCGCGTTTTACAGAGGGAAGTTTACCAATAGCCTTAAGAACGTTAACTGAAATTGATAAATTTGAAAAGAAAATTAGAAAAAGTAATTTAGCCGGTCACTTGACGGAAGACAAATGTGGGTCGGAATGCACCTTATTTAGTTCTTAAATCTTTTATATATAAATTATTATTATATTTTCTTACTGTTACTATTTTAGTTTAATGCTGTACATATATATCTTTTTATTTCATAGTGTCTTCAATTAGCTTCATAGCGTACGTACCTGACACTTAAATAAAGTTTATTATTATTATTAAATGTACCGCTTGTAAAAGTCATTGGAAATCCGATTTCGGATGGCATCTTCTTCAAAAATGAGCGTACTCACTTCCCCTTGCTTGATGCGTAAGAGGGTCAAAAAGTCTCTAGCTATTCTAGTCTTACTTGATGGCCTTCAGGAGCTGCATCTCGACTGGTAAGCCTGAGTAATTATTTTATTTGATGTTTTTTCCCTGTTTCCTAAAGTTGAGCGTAGTTTATGTGCCTAGTTTATGCACGAGACAATGATCTAACCTACAATAGTATCAGGTTTGATATAAGCTCACGGAACTTTAAAAAGCCTTTAGACATTTTCTGACCGTAGATAAAAAGGAAACGTTCAGAAGAATATTTAGTTATGATTAGGCTGTAAAAAGAAAACTGAGCGATTTTCTTGCCTCGAGTTCATCTTGAAAAATAACAAACACCGAGAAGCCGGCTTAAAACATAAATCTGCAAGGTTTTAAATTCGTAAGCTTATGCTTACCTGACTAATGATTTTCGGAGACAGTTTACTCTGAATACTTGTCTTCGTGAATCAAAATTGGTGTCGCTGTACATGTTTCACCGAATTATATCTATTTTATTAATTGTTAGATCAGCGGAAGCGTTAAAACTAACGACGTGGCTAACAAAAGTTGTATTTGTAGCGTACGTCCCATGGGTTTTACGGGGGGGCATTTATAGTTTGCGAAAATTGTTTTGGTATTTATCTCCCTCCATTTTGGGAAACATAATAAATTCCCTATCATGTTGAAGCGTATTCCTATTTTCAAAATTTTCGTTCAAACATGACGGCTCTCCCTGCAAACTGGGTGCTTGTCAAAAGTGAGAAACCTTTCGGCTGGCCGTTTAGGTTATTTTGGGAATTTTTTATCGTTTTTATCGTTATTACCCTGCGTATCACATAGGAGCAGAGTTTTCTGACCTAACAATCCCGATATTATGGAATTCTCTTCATGAAAACGTTTTATAGATAGATAGATAGATAGATAGTTTATTCACCATTAAAACTTGAAGCGAAGAGCTGAATTGCGATAAGGGTTACAAATGCAATAATTTACAACTGTACTAAATTAAAACTAATTAAAGCGCTTAACAACTAATAAAAGAAAGATGATCCAACATAATTTACGATTTTAAAACTGTTATAAAATCACAAATTCAAAAGCATGCGTCAGTGTTCCTACATACAGTAAGAAACACAATTATATCTAGTTCTCAACTACTGTAAAGATAACTTAAAAGAAAACTATTCTTGCATCTTCCAGTTTTACACTGTGGACGAATAAATGTTCTTTGTTCTCTCAGAGAGTAGCTTGGCTGGTATTTATTTGGAAGTAGTTTGTGGAGACTGTAAGATTGATTAGCACATATTTCATCGAACAATATCGCCGCATTTGCCTCTCTTCTATCATACAGTGTTAAAAGTCCAGACAGCTCTAGAGCCTTCGAATATGATAGCTCAGGGTAAATAATCTTCGTAGTGCGTCTTTATAGTCTTTCTAGGTCTTCGCTTAGATAACTTGGTAGAGCGCGATGGAAAACTGGGCTGCCATACTCCAGAATAGAGCGAATGCATGTGATGTAAAATAGAAGAAGCTCTCTTGTAGCCACATGCGATTTCTTAAGCTGTCTTAGAAAATATAATCTTGTTGAGACCTTTCTAAGTAGATCTGACACATGGATATTCCACTTTAAATCACTGCTAATATTAAGTCCTAACAATTTCATATTGTTCTCAGTCTCTAGGGTCTGACGGTTAACCCAGATAGGGTCAAATTCTGGTTCGTTCCTTGCGAAGCTAATCTTGTGCTCTTTGCATTTCCTTTCGTTTGACTGAAATCCGTCATCCCTTGCTTGTATTGCGAGATCGTCTACCACTTGCTGAACATAACTCTCTAAGCCTTTATCTACCACCTCAGAGATTTTGGTACCCACATATTTCCACATATCTGCCTCTCCTGCATTCAAATCATTAATCATTATTATTAAGAGCCACGGCCCTAGCCTTTTCCCTTGAGGAACACCAGCTGGGACGTAACGCCACTCGGAGAAGCAATCCTGGGCCAGTTTAACTATCTGTCTCCTATCCAATAGAAAGTCAGTAATCCAGATGTGGTTCGGAATATCGTAATCTGAGAGTTTACACACTAAGATATTGTGATCAATGAGATCGAACGCCCTACGAAAATCAAATAAAACTAGTCTAATCGCGGCCGGTTTCCCATCAGAGCTGATGTGCCAGTTATGGATCATGCTAACAAGTGCTTACGTAGTGCATGATTTAGGTATTGTCCATTATTGCCAGAAAAGACCGATAGATGTGCTTTGAAAAAGCGTCAAGAATTGGAATTAAGACATCATTTATCAGAATAGTTGGTGTATTCGGCAGAGGTGAAAGCACTGGTGCAATTTTAGCTGTTCGAATTAACAAACGCCATGCTGCTGGCATGGAATGAATTACACTCTTAATGAAAAAACTTTGTTCAGGGTTAAGTTGTACATTATCAACCGAAAATAAGTCTCAGATTTTGCAACATCTCTTCGGTAAACAGATTTCTTATCAGCACACAGAACCTTGTTGTTCCAGATGACCTGATTTACAATTTCGTGTACTGAAGTAGATTCTCTTGCGTTTAATTCTGACCGTGCAACAAGACATTGCTAAAGAAAGCTGGCAGAGAAATATTTAGTTTCGAAACCTCAAAATTACAATGCAGTAAAAACTTACTACCAATAGGTTTCAGAAATCTCTTAAAAACATTTTCCATGGACTTTCATAATCCTCTAAAAGTTTTTGTAAGCATATCACTCGCTTAGTGCGAACCATGGATTCAGTATCAAACGTATTCAAGCCACCATTCTCAACTTCTGAAATAATTGCGTTGCGCTTTACTTTGTCCTTCCTGTTCCAGATGAAATGATAAAAGATCGAATCAGATTATTTCACGAGATCCTTCGAGATTGAAATAGCCGATGCTCTGAACATAAGCTTAGGGATGGCGAAGGTTTTAACAATTTGTATCCTGCCTATAAGAGATAGGCCTCGTCATTTCCATAAGTTAATCGTTTTCTTAATTGATTCCAGAGTCTTCCAAAAGTTCAATTCTTCTATTTTTCTAGCCTCACCACCACAATAAATACCTAGAATCTTGATGATTTCACAAAGATTATTCATATCCAAATGCCCTTCCCAGAGGGATCCACTATTTCCTAACGTTAATGCTTCGGTTTTATCGTTATTTACTTTTAACCCTGAAAACGCTCCGAAAGCCCTCAGGGTTTCGAATAGGATTGAGTAAGACCTAATGTCTTCAATAACGCAGGTCATATCATCCACAAAAAGAGTAAGTTTAACAATTTTTCCCCTATCCTAATACCTTGAATGTTATTATCGTTTCTTATCTTAATAGCTAAGATCTCCACAGCTAATATGAAAAGATAGGGAGAAAGAGGATTCCCCTGCCTTACCCCTCTACTTAGAGAGAAAGGTCCTGAAGTAAAACCATTATTCATAACACAGCTGGAGGCCTTATTGTACAAGACTCGTACCCAATGAATGAAAGTAGGACCAAAGTTAAATGCGTAAGACTCTTAAAAGGAAATTAAAATTAAGGGAATCAAAAGCTTTCTCAAAATCTAGGGCCACTATGATCCCCGATATGTCCCCGTTGATCGTGTGCTCAATCACATCGTCAGTTGTTCTGGTGGCATCAAAAATAGTTCTCGCCTTGACAAAGGCGCTCTGATCAAAGTGAATTATTTCGGGTGGCACATTTTCCAACCGCTTGGCCAAGATCTTGGACGCTATTTTTGCATCTTCCTTAATAAGAGACATTGGACGCCAATTTTTTATTTGCCTTTTGTCTTTTCCTTTTTTTTCAACTTAAGTTATAACCGCCTGTTTCTGTGAATTTAAAAGCTCTCCGTACTCAAAGGCATAATTAAGACTTTCCACCAACAAATTTCCAAACACGGGCCAAAAGCAACGTGAAATTCAACAGTTAAGCCGTCGTTTCCGGGTGATTTATTGTTTTGGAAGGTCTGCAGAGCATTGTAACAC